TTTGGTTATAGGGTGTTAACTTAGGATGTTTGCGAAAGCCATAGCTGACACAGACACTTGTCAGTGTCCCCGAAAGAATGCAAGGCGGAGTAGAGTCACATGGTGGGGGGCAGTTAAAAATTAAGGAAATGCAAGCAGAGGGTCCCCTAGAGGCAATAGTTAGACGTTAACCTTTGTCCCCAGTACCTGCCTGGCTGGGAAGCTGGGAGCAGGAGACAACTGCTAAAAGTTTACCTCTGTCCACAATGGCTGCCAGGATGTCAGCTCCTAAGGCAGACAGTGTTTGTTAAAGGTTAATAGTGGCTGCCAGCTTTATTTTTTCCCCCAAAATGTGTTTGGGCTTACAACGTTATATTTCTATATTCCTGGATCGGACCCTTTATTTCTATATTTTATTCCTGGACTCTTGAGATGTCTGCGGTTTGTACGGACACCTGTGGCCATGGTGATGTGTATGATCCCTGCAGTGACTGGAGGCCATGTTGATGTCTATGATCGGTTTCCATGGGAAACCATGCTGAGATTCATGGTCCATGTTGTCGCCGGCTTATATGAGCAAGGAAGCTTCTTTTGCAGTGGTATCAATGACTGTAGACTCATAATTGAGAATGAGAGATGTTGAAGGATTCTGTGACAACCCCTCACCCCCGGCAAAAAAAAAAAAAAAAAAGTCCGGACATGAAGCTACTGAAGAGAATACTTTAAAACTGTGACAAAGTTGCTGAAGTACAGCTCTTCACGGTTGATGACTTCTGGAGGGACATGGGGGAAGGACTCAGTTATCTTTAAGAGTCTGGCTGCTGGGGGTTTGACCATGCTCCAATGAGTATACGGGAAACACAAATTGAACTTGGTGTATTTGGGAGTGGGGGAGTGAAAGGCTGGGAGGGTGGATCTGGGAGGAATTGGAAGAAGTATGATCAGGGTGTATTGTATGAAAAAAATGAACAAAAAAGTTTGTAATATTAAAAATAATGTGTGAATATAAAATAAGAAAGAGCTCAAAAACATGACTTAATGATGAAATGATGAAACCCAAGAATGGAAAACAAGAACAAACCAACCTGAAACCCAGTAGATGGCAAGAAATAATCACAGTAAAAAATAATGGAATAGAAAATAATAGAAAGAATGAAACTAAGAACTGGTTCTTTGAAGAGATAAAAAGATCCGCAGGCCCTTGGTCCCATCTCACCCCAAAAAAGGAGATTCCCCAGGTTAGCTGAATCAGAGACAAACCAGGAAACATAAGAGCAGACACCAGATAAATTCAGAAACCTATACTGCATTAAGGTAGAAAATCTAAAAGTAGTGGCTCACTTTCTAGATTGATACAAAGCACCAAAGTTAACCAAGAGATCAACTATTTAAACAGACCTATGACAAATAAGGCAATTGAAATAACAATAAAAGCCTCCTTATTACCAAAAAAAAAAGAAAAATTAAAGAAATCCCAGGCACAAGCTCTTTAAAAAGATGTGTAACCAATGCTTCTTAAATTATTCAAAAGAACAGAAACAGGAGCACTTGTAAACTTTTCAATCTAAGAAGCCAGTATTACCCCAGAACCAGGTAAAGATAAACATAATAGTCCCCTTTGAACATAGGTGCAAAATATTCAATAAAATGCATATGAATATAGGCATATATCAAAAAGATCATCCATCAAGATCAAATTGGCTTTATCCAGAGATGAAGGGATGGCACAACATGTGCAAATCAATAAATTTAATAAGCCATAAAAGTAGGTTTAAACACAAAAATCCCATGACCATCTAAGTAGATACAGAAAAGGCCATTGACAACTCCAACATACCTTCATGAAAGACTGGAGGCAACATACCCCAACATAATAAAGACTATGTGTGACAAACACACAGCCATGTGACCCAGCCATCCCACTCCCTGGCATAAGGGACTCTACACCCTGACCACAGACAACGTGGTCATGTTCATTTCCACTCTACTTAAAAGCTAGGAAATGAACAACCAAAATGTTCTTCAACGGACAAGGGGATAATGAAAATGTGATGCACGTAGGCTGTGAAGAAAAATGAGACATGTGGGTAAGTCGGTGGAACTGGAAATTTATTTATAGTGAGTGGGGGAACCCAGACCCAGGGAGACAAACACGCTCTTATCCGAGGCTATTCGTTCTGAATCTTTAGATACGAGGGCACAGCTAGGAGAAACAGCGGATCCCAGGACAGTAAGAAGGGACCCGGATGGGGGTGTGAAGAGGTAGAAATTCTAGAGAGGGGGATAGGTGGGAAGTCACGGGAACTATGAGAGGAGAAATAGAAAATGTGGGGGTCTTTATCTGCAGAGTGTAGGAGTAAGTATGAACACTAAGGATTACTGAAACAGTCAAAGAGAAACACATTTTGTATTGTATTTTCTCTAATACAATATATTAACCTGGGCAGGTGGGCAGACTGATTGGCATAGAGGTATACAGACTTTGTGCTGTGTTGCACTCCAGTGTGTGTGTGCACGGATTGGTCTGAGCAGGGCCCCAGGTGTCTTCCTCTGTAGCTCTCCATCTTATTGCCTTGAGATAAAGTCTAACCCAGCTTGCTTGTTCTGCTCTGCTAGCAGGCTGGCAAACTCTCATGAACTATCTCCTCCCTAATGCTGGGGGGTTACAGGCACAAGGTCAGCTTTCTCCATGGGTGCTGGGGGTCTGAATTCAGGTTCCCACGCTTGCAAGTAGTGCCCTCCCTGCTCAACCACAACCCCAACCTCATCTTGAGAAAATGCACATCCTCAGATTATGTTAAACATGGGGAGAAAACTGAGGCCAGCCAATGCACCAAACAGCGGCAGTTCTCCCGGAGGCTTTTTATGAGATTTTATTTATATTTATGATCTGAGTCCAAAGTGAACTAGATCTCTGTGAGCCTTGCCTTGGGGAGGAATGCTGGGAAATGAGATACTTCCCTTCCATCAAACAACACATGGGATTAATACTGTTTGCTTTCACGCCGACTGAGCCGGACTGTTCCCTCAGTTGTCTCCCAACCCCTTTGTTAAGAGTGACCCCAGAGAAGTTCCATAACCAGCAGACTAAGGTAGCTTCCTTTCTGGACCATTCCTGCTATTCACCAGGTTTCCTCCACGGAACATAAGACACTCCTGCTTGCTTAGCAGATGGCAGTTTCCCCCATTTTATCATCTTGGCCATCTGCTTATTTTATGGGCTTCCTGTTCCAGGCTCAACCCTAGGAAGTTACAGGGGGAAGTCTACCTCGGGTGCTGCCAGACACAGGAGCAAGGATGGACAGCAGAGTGGCTTGTACTTCAATAGTGGGCATGTGCACCCAACTGCTTTTGTCCTGCACTCAGAATGTGGTCTTTTGAGGGCATGCAGGGAACAAGAGAAAGTGGCCGGAAGTCAATGTTTTCTGGAACAGTTGGTCCACGTGTGCTGGCTTTTATATCAAGTTGACGCGAGCTGGACTCATTTTGGAAGAGGTAACTTCAGTTGAGAAAATGCTCCCACCAGATGGGCCTGTGGTGGGTTTTCTTTTTTTTTTTTTTTTTTTCCCTTTACTTTCTTTTCTGAGACAGGGTCTCTATGTAGCTATCCCCGAACATGCTAAGTAGACCAAGCTGGCCTTGAAATTATAAACCCACTTGTTCCCGCCAAATACTGAGGCTGAGGGCATGCACCACCAAGCCCAACTTCATGTAGTCCATTTTCTTAGAGATGGATGCAGGAGGGCCAAACCACTGTGGGTGGGCGGTGAGAAAAACAGGCTGAGAAAGACAGTAAGCAGCATTCCTCCATGGCCCTCTACTTCAGTTCCTTAACTCCAAGCTCCTGCCTCGATTTCCTTTGACAGACTAATATGAGAGCTACAAGCCAGAATAAACACTTTTCTCTTAGTGTTATCACAGCACTAGAGACCTTAACAAAGACGACATGTGAATAGTCAGTGTTGTTCAGAAGCCCAAGGGGAGAGCGCACTTAATCTAAATGTCTACTAACCATCTGCTAACCACTCCAGGGTTGGTTGTGTTTGCCTGCATTTAGTCTCTCCAGGAGCATTTTCTAACTTTGTGCTTCAAAATAAACACAACTCTCTAATTTTATTGACTCTCCAAAATACCAGAAGCTTCATACTGAACATAGCTACTGCTGCAAGGCTGTCAGAGCCGACAAGCCCTGGCTCTACCCCAATCAGGGGGTTAAAGACCCACAGCAGGGCATTGCAGCCTCAACATCACGTATTCCAGGTGTGCCTAACATTTCTTTTCTTTTTTTAAAGATTTATTATGTATACAACATTCCTTCCACGTGTGCCTGCAGGCCAGAAGAGGACACCAGATCTTATTATAGATGGCTGTGAACCACCATGTGGTTGCTGGGAATTGAACTCAGGACCTCTGGAAGAGCAGCCAGTGCTCTTAACCGCTGAGCCATCTCTCCAGCCCCCCAACATTTATTTCTTGTATCCAGCTTCCTAACACCACGGTGAAGACAAGGCTGCCAGTCTTGTACCATCTCGTCAGAGCTTCCAGCAGTCGTTACCCAGTCTCTCGGAGATCACTGGCCATTTCAGAATCTGGGCTTTCTTAATGGCTCACACATGCCTCTGCACCTCTATCAGTCAGAGAAGTGGAGTCAGTAACTGCAAATGAGTGGAAGTCAGTGCTGAAGACGACAACCCCTCTCCCTGGTTAGCTGAAACCCACATTTGAAAGGGCTGTTGTGTTTGGACTATTTGATCTCTATTGCCCCTTCCTCTCAACTCTCCCCAGCTGATACCAAAGATAACTGTGGATCTGAAAACCATCAACCCTCTAAGTGTAAGGAAGATCACTGGAACACATACACTAGCCAGCATTGATGCTGCCAAGTTAAAGTGTAATGGAGAGAGATGACTGGCTGGCCCAGCAGAGGACAGGCTACCATTGTGTCAGACGGCTCATTTCTGGGCCGTGGGATTAAGGTTAGTCCTCAATTTTAAAAAATTGACTGCTTACACTTGTCAACGTTAACTTCCTTTCATAATTTACTCAACTGGAAAAAGTATCCTATAACAAAATGTATACAATTTAGTAATTGTACAAAACACGGATTTAGCAAGATGACACTGGTTACAGTCACCAGCATGAACACTCCATACTGTTCACCGCCACTTCCATGACAAGCTCAGGAAAATAAAACGTTACTGGCTAAAAAGTCACAAGAGGAGCAATGTGAAACTTCACATACAACAGCAAAGTCCATCTTCCACAGTAATACTGACATACAATCACTAAGAGGCTCCCGTGATGCCGCTGCACGCTTGGAATGTCTTTCAGAGTCCACAAGATGTCATTTCCCAAGACTGAACTTGAAGCATTAGATAGAATACAAAATAAGGAGCTCTTTATTATTCTTTATACAAAACTGGTACATTAAAAAAAAAATTGAGATTCAACAACTCTGCTGACCCCCTGAGGAAGTTAAGAGCTTTTCTGGGTCCATCAAAGGAGCCCGTAAATTACTCAGTCACCAAGCTCCTGGCCACAGGAACAAGGCACACAGCTCCAGGGCCATTCATGTGGCTCCGTCATTGGCTCTGCAAGCTGACTTTCCCTTCATTAGGCGTGGCAAGCAAGCCAGAGTTTCCTGGACAATGCCACAGAGCACTGTCTTCTCTGGCCCAAGCTAGAGTATTATCAGTGTAAAGTTGAGTTCTTTTATTTCTTAAAACACTTTCAATAAACTCCTAGCGTAAGACACTTTATTACAACATATACAGATTTGATAGTTTACCAAAAAAATCTAGAATTCAGCTAAATAAGTTAAAATGTCTCTAAAGAAAGTTGTCTTAGAGAAATGGTCGTTTTCTTTTAAAACCATGTTCCCATACTCTGAGAGGTCCAACTTGCTTGTACCCTTGTCTAAGTAACACCGAGAGCTCTGCTATCTTTAGTGCAAAGCATGGCACTTTCCTAAAGCCCGACGCTAAGACATGCAGTAGCCCAGTTGGCAAAAATCTAGACAAGAGGCCTCTCTGAACAGAGACCTGCAGAAATAAACGCAGTGACTGCTTTCTTCATCGAGAACAATCAGCACTGCTGAGCACATTGTTCTGTAGTTTGAGAATAAAAGGAATTCTTCCCATGAAGAAGTAGGTCCCCTTCTGAAGAATATGTTGTTTACCCCCAAAATCAATAGACCAGCACCAAATGAATTATTAGTTTACAAAAAATAAACTTAGATTACAAAGTTCTATAACTCAGACTAAATAAATATAAAATCAGAAGTTCTGTCAGCTACAGTATAATTTAAAACTCCAGGTTTAGCCCACTTGGAGAGGCCAGTCTCACACTGATCACCATCAACTCCAGCACTTCATCAAAACCTTTTCCAGCTTGTGGGGCTTTCAGAAACGAGCTGCAGATCACACCTGTGCTGCTCAGAGCACGACATCCACAGGAGATCTTTCCAGAAGACAGCATGGCAAGACACACTGTTTCCAGATCTGAGGAGTCTGTGCAAAGGACCTCAGATGTCTCTGAAAGAGCCCAAAACCAAGCAGGCATCTCACTGATCATGTCCATTTATCTTCCACAAGACACTGCACTGAGATTTTTAATTCACAGATTTTACGTTAGTCCTTGAGAACCCAATGCCCGCGTTTTAGTTCCATACTGTCAGGCTGCTCAAGCTGCCTTCTTGGTGCATGTTCCTTGCAGATCTTGTAAATTTATCTTCGATCTAAGTCCGAAAAAGACAAAGTAGTACAACAGAAAACGTCAGTAACGAAAACTTGAGGGTTGGTGGTGCGTGTGGGGGATGGGGGCGGGGAGAAGACAACACTAGATGTCACCCCTCTGGCGCCACCCATCCTTTGAGACAAGGCCTGGAACTCGCCCATGTGCAGTGAGCCCACAGGCCCTGCCTCTCCCCCTGCCCACAGTTTGCACTCTAAGCTCATGCCATTATACCTGGTTGCATTGTTTGACAAATTTAGGTTCCAGGGCTTGGACTCAAGTTGCCCCAACATTTTAGTGGTATTTCCCAGACCAGACTGTCTGGGAACTTTAATTGGGAAAATTTCTTATGTCTAGAGGTCTTACCTGTTGTGAACCATGTGACTTCTGACAAGATGTCCTGCTGCCAATGCTGCCATCAAGGACAACTCCCCAGCCATCACAGTACCACACACAATTCGGGCAAGCTGCCGTGCATTTTCTCCAGGATTGTCTTTGCATGCTCCTTGAACACCTAGCATCTGTAATCAGAGACCAATAAAGATTACTACAAGGCATCAGACCAACTAGATTCCATCAGAAGTGGTAGCCAGGTCAGGCCAGACAGCTGGTATTGACACAGACTGGCACTATGCACTTACTCGCTTAATTAATCTCATGATGAGACACATGCACCCAAACCACGTTTATGTATGTATGTGCATATGTGTATGTGTGTATGTATATATATTTGTGCTATGTACATATATACACATGTATGTACATATAGACATACACACACACATATATTTAGAACCCTTATACATATTTGGACATACTAGGCTAGACTGGTAGAAAGCAAGGGTGGAAAAGATCAGCAAGAATACAGAATAGAGTGATGTGGTGTCAGATAGACACGTATTATCCCTGGTGTGAGGGTCAAACTTGGGTATCAACTTGATGCATCTAGGAAGAGGGAACCTCAAGTGACAAGCAGCCTCCAGCAGTGGCCTGTGTACATGCCCACAGGGTATTTTCTTGACTGCTAATTGATGAAGAACCCACTCCACATTAAAAAAAAAAAACAAAAAAAAAAAAAAAAAAAAAAAAAAAAACAAAAAAAAAAAAACAAAAAAAAAAAAACAACAACTGTAGCTGAATGAGAGGCTAGGAACAAGCCAGCCAGCAGCACTCTGCCACGGTCTCAACTGTCTCCAGGTTCCTGCCTTAACTCCCTCTACCTAGATGTTTAAGTGGAAAGGAATCCACTTTCCCAAGTTTGTTTTAGTCAGTAAGCAGTAGAACAAACCAGAACAACTGGGAGTCGAGCTAGCCTGAGGCCACTATGCCAGACCCATACCTGCAGGCAGGCTTGCTGAGGTAGGAGGTTGGTCCCACCACCCACGGTTCCTATCTCTATAGACGGCATGGTGCAGCTGATATACAAGTCTTCATTCGTGGGACCACTTGCTTCCATTAAAGTAATACAGTTTGAACTGCCCACATTCTGCGCTGCGTCCTGGAAGGGGAAAAGGGAAAATGCAGTACAGTTCTTTCACCGAGAACCACAGAGCAGAAGGCAAGGTGGGAACTGGCGAGCTCACCTGGCCACACGCAATGTAGATGGCAGTGACGATGTTGGCTGCATGGGCGTTGTAGCCTCCTATGCTCCCGGCCATGGCAGACCCCACGAGATTCTTGTTAATATTGACGTCAATCATAGCTTCCGTCGTCGTCTTTAATACCTAGACCACAGTGTGCACATTTTACATACTCCTCCAGGAGAATCAAGCAAGACACAAGTCTATTTCTCGGTACTTCTAGGAAGCAAGGGTGTAGACGTGGCCCTATTTAGCTGTCTCAGGAATGCCACATGCAAATGGGCATGAAAAATAAAAAACATTTTAACAGAAAGAAAAACCCTACAAATGTAATCTTACTAAAGGTGTTAGTACTCTTTTAATATTTATTATTTTTAAAATTGTCTTTCAGTCATGCTGGCCCAGAACTTCCTATGTAGCCCACACTGGCCTCAGACTTGCATGGATCCTCTGCCTCTGTCTCCCTGGAGCTGGGATTGGCTGGTCTCAACACAATTAATGACACTACTACATCAGAGTAGGACAACATTCATCCATCACTTACTTCTCTCACCACCTTGGCAGGAATGACAGCTTCACACACAACTGTCTTTCCTCTTCCTTCGATCCAGTTTATGGCAGCAGGTTTCTTGTCAGTGCAATAGTTACCACTAACTGCCAGGATCTGCATCTCAGGGAAGAACTCCTGAAGCTTCAAAAGTGCTTTCTCCGTGCCCTTGGAAATCATGTTCATCCCCATGGCATCCCCTGTCTTGGACTGGAAGCGGATATACAGGTTGCGTCCTGCCATAGTCACATGAAGTTTCTCTAGACGCGCAAATCTGCAAACACAAGGTTTTTATTCTAAGCCAAGGCGAGAAATTTTTTTTTTCTTTCTTTCTTTCTTTCTTTCTTTCTTTCTTTCTTTCTTTCTTTCTTTCTTTCTTATTTTTTGGTTTTTTAAGACAAGTTTCTTTGACTATCCTGGAACTTGCTTGGTAGACTAGGCTGGCTTTGAACTCAGAACCACCAATGTCTGCCTCCTGAATGCTGGGATTAAAGGCATGTGTTACCACTGCCTGCCAGAAATTTTATTTTAAATCTACTTCAGTAAGGAACAATTCTTCTTTAAAGAAATGAAGGCTAATCAGCTGAGTCTTGTTCTCTGTCACTGACTAAAAGGTGGACTAGCTTCTTAAAACTCTTAAGTCCAAATAAGAGCAAACACATTGGCTTGGACTCTGCAAGCGCTGGCATCTACTGCTATGCTTCTGTGTGGTTTTAATTAATGGTCTTCGTTCAGAGCAAACCTATAACTATACTAACACTCCCATTCTGCCTAGAAACTCCTTCTCTAGGGCAGAATAACAGTCTAATCAAGCATATTAGCTCCTATCTTTTAATTTACTATTGCTACCTGTAAGTGGGAATAAGGAATTGAACTTGGGCCACCAGGTTCACACATTAAATGTTTTTTCTTGCTGAGCCATCTTACCAAGCTTTAAAAAACCAATTTATTCCTATGGGGTAATTAATTCATTTGAATCAATCCTCACCCTAAGCAAGAATAATCATTCCTAAAGGAATGGATTACAGGACAGGGCTACGTTACCATAAGCAGGCACACATCAACAGCTACCTTTAGCTATCATTCTATTATATTGTATATAATTTCCATGCGAGCCCCACACACCTGCTGGTGCTATCGAAGGCCTCCTTTACCACTGCGAACCCTTCAGGTGTCTCGAGCCAGGCCTTCACTTCTGCAGAGTCACAAGCACGAGGAAGACGCACCACTGGGCCTCGGGTCATCCCATCTGCAAGGACCCGGCTGCTGGCACCTCCACCAAGACCTATTGCTCTGCAGCCTCTGTTGGTGCTGGCCACAAGACAGCCTTCTGTTGTTGCCATTGGAACCTGGTACTCTTTCCCATCCAGGCAGAGAGGCCCTGCCACTCCGACAGGGATGGGCATATAGCCAATTACATTTTTACAGCAAGCTCCCATCACCAGGGAGTAATTATAATCTCTGTAAGGCAGGTACTGCAGAGAAGAAGGCTCTGGAAGCTTTGTGGATAGGAGCTGTCGTCGAATAGACACACCACGTTCATGAGTTTCCATTAGAGTTTCCAATTTGTAGGCCGGGATGTGCTTGGCATTGACCAGCTGGATGATCTCTGCATCACTAAGGAACTTTGCACCTTTCTGAAGAGATGGGAAATGGGAGGGAGATGACAGCAGAGTCAAGAACTGCAGCTCACAAGACAAAGCCAAAGAAGCTGAAAGCCCACAGCGCAGAGTGGCTCAGCTGACAACACCGTAGGGATCTACCTTACTGCCCCACTCCCCTCAGAAGAGAGCAGTACCAGAACAGAACCTTGCCCTCAGTCCAGCTCCCTCGCGCTGCTGTGGGTCTGCCCACACTGTGAACTTACATGCTCATGGACTGATCAATGAAAGCCAATCAATACATTATTTCTTACAATAACATAGGCAATATGTTATTATATGGTAATAAATTTTGTGTACAAGCCGTGGCCCTTAAATAGCTGAGGATACCAACACTCAAGAGAGTTAAAGTACAAGAACAGCAAGAGGAAAACTCAAAAGGCTTGGGTTTGTAAGGAGGGAGATGATCTGAACAGTGACTGTCAAGGAGAGCCAGGGCAATGGCTCTGCGGGTGAAGCGCTTGCTGTGCAGCCTGAGTTCAGATCCCAGCCCCCACACTGGCTCCATCTGCAATCCCAGCACCGAGCAGGAGGAAAACAGGCAAAGTTTTTGCTGGGGGTTTGCTGTGTCCAGTTTAGCTAAAATGGCAAGCTCCATGTGCAGTGACAGCCCTGTCTCACACATTCAGATCAAGTCAGGAGGTTATTACACATCTTTAGCCAGCACTCAGGAGGCAGAGGAACTCTGTGAGTTCCAGCCAGAAATATATAGTAAAATTTGTCTCAGAAACAAAACAGACAGACAGAATGACGGTGGAAAGAGACTGAGAAAGGCATGCAGCGTCACCAATCTTTACTCTCCCCACCCACGTAATTAAACAGCATCAAAACTGTAAGATTTTATAAAAACTAAACAACAAAACCCAAAAAATGTTCACAAAAAAATAAGTAAAAATAAAATAAAGTAAAGTAAAGCCCACATGTATGACCCTGTTAACACAGCATGGCAATGAGGACTGGCTGCTGACACACAATTTGGGTTTTCTCTAAGGTGCTGGGGGGCCTCACACATGCTAAGCAAGAATTGTACTGAGCTACATTCCTAGCCTAGGCACTGGCACATGTAAAACAAACGCACCTAGAGGCTGATACACAAGTGACACAGTAACTTCTGAAGGGGAAATGCTCCATGCTCTCATACATAGAAGGCACAACACTTATCCAAGAACAGAAACGATGGTTGCCAATAGCCAGGAAGAAAGGAATGGGATGCTTATCCAAATACTGGTGTCAAATCTCTGTGACACAGGATGATTAAGTTCTCAATAGACAGTAGATAATGAATATTAGCTTGACAGTGTTAATTTTTCAAAAAGAAGCCGTGCAATTTAAATACTTCTAATTTCCTGTCAATTGTATCTTAATAAAGTGAGGATACAATGGAACTATATTTGGTCAAACATGAAGAAAAGATTTTTGAGACAAGGTCTTACTATGTAGCACTGTGCACACCCGGAAAACATATTCTTTATACAAAAAGAGTTAGTCAGACTAAGTAGACACAGCTGAAGTATGAATGGAAGTATATAAATGTGGAGGCAGAACATGGTCAAAGCTCCAGGAAGAAAAGCTAGCTGCCTGGTGAGATCAAAAAGCACAAAACAAAGCTTTGCTCTGTGCAGTCCAGCCATGTTCCAACACAGATGAGGGTACAAAAGCTCCTCATCTCTATGAGAAACAGGGATGCACTACAAAGAGTTTTGATTCTGAAACCAGAAACTCTCAGGCCCTGTTCCACACCTTACCATTTCCCCAATAGTAAATATCCTGGGATATTACTAAAGCCCCTTGAATTTGGGCTGTTCATCTGAAAGATGGAGAAAATCCCCCAAAGGCTGTAGGGGTTAATACAATTGATAGGGCACATAACACAATGGGCTCCGTCTAGTAAGAAGAACAAAACCACCCCTCCTTAGAGAAAACCAAGTGTGCACACCCCTCACCTCAGCACTCTCCAGTATCTGCAGGCATTCTTCAGTAGGCCGAGGCTCGCTGGGGAGGTCAATTTCAGGCTCCTGTGTCCCCAGGGCCACAGGAGGTCTGGCTACAGAGGCGCCAAGCACAAACGTAGCTCTGCTTGCACTCTCAGTTTCCGCCACTAATGGTTTTATAACCTCAACTGTGAGAGGCAAAAAGACAGCTCAAAACCCGGTAATCACTTTCAAATGAACTCAAGTTTCAGGGTCCGCGCTCGGACAGGAGGATGGACAAGAGATCACCTTTTCTATCCTGGTTCGCTCCTGGCTCCTCCTCCACACACGCAAGCTTCTGGTTCTTTCTCACAAGCAGAGGCTCACGTCTGCAACAGTTATCTTGAGCTTTTTTGGGGGTCACCACAGGAGACGTGATAGGATTTTTTAATGAGAGCGTTGATTCTGTCTCCGCTTGTTCAAAGAAAATGTACTTGACAGCCAACAGGAGAGCTAAACTCAGGGTGATCACCTGTTCAATGTCCATGCTGATCATCCTGAATGAAAACAAACACATTAACGTGTCGGGTCAGAAACAAACATCAAAGCACAACTTGCTAGAGCACAGAATACCGTGGGTTTCAGTCAACTTACTTGGAGAGATAAAACTGCCAGAGAGAAACACTTGGCTCAATTCTCTTGGACACATCCTCATCCAGTCCCAAGGAGACCTTGGAATGTTCTGCTGTACTGTTCTGAGGTGAAGGGTCAGCTATCCAGCGACTGTGAGCGTGAACAAGAACCAAGCCTAAAGACTGAAGGAAACACATCTTCAGCTGTGCAGCCTCTGCTTCCTCATCCCTCACAAGCCCAGAACCAGACACTATCTTCCTTGGCCGCACCTTATCACAATAAGAAAGCCCCCAGTTTATGTGGCTAATAAAAGCAGTGTTCCCATCACTGCTCAATCATTCCAAAGAACAGGCTTTCAGGGGCTAGAGAGATGGCTCAGTGGTTAAGAGCACTGCCTGCTCTTCCAGAGGTCCTGAGTTCAATTCCCAGCAACCACATGGTGGCTCACAACCATCTGTAGTAAGATATGGTGCCCTCTTCTGGCACGCAAGCATACATGCAGGCAGAACACGGTATACATAATAAATAAATCCCCCCCCCCCTTTTTTAAATGGCTTTCAAAAAATCTATGTAGGAAAGCAAGAATAAGAAAGACCAAAAGGGGGGCTGGAGAGATGGCTCAGAGGTTAAGAGCATTGCCTGCTCTTCCAAAGGTCCTGAGTTCAATTCCCAGCAACCACATGGTGGCTCACAACCATCTGTAATGAGGTCTGGTGCCCTCTTCTGGCCCGCAGGCGCACATGCAGACAGAGTATTGTATACATAATAAATAAAAAAATATTT